TTCAGTGACCGTTAACGGTCATAAATTTTTAAAAAAAATAAAATAAAATAAAATAAATTTTCAGGGATCGAAACGGTCATAAACGAGCCCACGAGCCCGACTCGTTTAATTTGCTAGCCGAGCGGCTCGCCCGTCGAACCGGTCCGCTTGGCTCGCGCTCGGGCTCGTGTTTTTACGAGCCCGAGCTGCTCACGAGCTCCGTTTTCTCGAGTCGACGAGTCACTCGGCCCATTTGCCACCCCTATCTAATTGTATCAAATTGAAGTTGAGTGACTCAGATGCAACTACTCCTAAAGTTGGGTGACCTGTGTTGCAATTAACCCTACAAAATATGCAAATATTGGGAATAATCACAATTGGCTAAAGCCTCAATTTGGTAAAATTTATAAGTTGGTTTGTAAATTTTTTTAAAGTAAAACATTAATATCAAACACATAATCATTACTCTTTTATATTCACCATATATTTGCGGGATACACTACTATTCATCTTTTTAAATTTGCCAAATGGAGGGTTCTCTACGAAGTATCAGATGTTCGAATTCCCATGACAACTGGAAGGCAACATTTATGTTGAAAAACAGATATCCTGTGGAGGCAAAGTTATGGTGCTCTTTATCGCCTTTCTGGAGATTCAGTCCGCACGTCGTAAAGGGAGGAGAACTGCATTCTCAGTGTCCGACCCAAGTGCGTATAAGCTATGATCACATCCAAATTTACCTGGGTGGCGACCAGAAGAGAAGGCCATCACTCTTCATGATTAGTCGAATGAAGTTTGGACCCAAAAAAAAAATTGCCAAATGGAAGCTAAATATATTCAAACAACATATTGTAATAATTGAATCACATTTTAATTGTATAAGTGGTCCATAGTCTTTACTCAATTCATAGTTTAATATTTTTCAACTTTTAATTGCACTTTTATTTTCAAATTAACACATGCTATCTCTGATAACAGTTTTTGTCCCAAAATTTCATTAAAATAGAGTAAAAAGACTCATTTCTCAACACGTTTTTAAATAATCAAAATAAAAATAAGGACTAATTAGTTTTTCCTCGTTTTAAAGCACACCGACAAAAATTTTGGACAAAAATCATTAGAAAGGTCAAGATTTGCTTAGTTAATTAAAATTTCAAGATAATTTTTGATTAAAAAAGAGTTAAAGATATATATGTGACAATGATAAATATTTAGTCCATGTTTGAACCTCATTTTTCAAATCTTATTTTTCTCTATAATCGTTTTTAATAATACATTCTCAATTTTTTTTTTCCGAAATCCATTCTGAAAAATTGGTTCAAAACATGGACTTACTGTATTTATAAAAGATGTGATGTATGATTACCCTTCTGAATTTTGTGGAATATTTTTTTATTGTGAATTTTCTTTTTTTTATCCTAATGTGACCAAGCCTAACCAAAGAAAGTCTCTATTTTGTCCCCATTTTTTGAAATTTATTTCTTCTCAAACTTATTGTTAATTACGCATAATGTGATCAATAACTACGTTTTAATCATATGTTTTACCAAATTGTATCAAAATTTACCAAAAATATAATATTTAGCCAAATCATTCAGGGACTAGGTAAAAATAATGATAAGGATCCATAAAAAATCACTTTGCTAAGCGTACGTGTGTATAAATATCACCCCAAGTAAAAAATAAATAAATAAAAAAATCCCACTGTCATTTCCAAACGTACGACTAGATTAGTTTTTCTCGATTCTCAAAAGATGAAAAAAGCAATGATGTCATTAGAGGGCAATTGTTGATGCCAATCAGCATACACAAACAAACTCGAGACAAAGATTAAAAATAGGTAGACATGTAGAGCAACATCATGGACACTTTAAAAAATTAAAATTAAAATAAAATAAAAAATTAGCCTCATAGGTGCTACCAAGCCAAGACAATCCCTGTTTAAATAGCATTATTCATGTTGATGCGCTATATATATAACAATAAAGCTATTTGTACCCGTTTCTTTACTTGTGGGTTGACACGCAGAGGTAGAAAGCAGCTGAATTCAAAAATCTTCAAACACACCTTTGTCTACACTTTTGGGCCGGGTATAAAAATCAACCGGGTCATTCTAATTTAAGCCAAAATAACTCAAAAGCATTCATGTTGCCCACATTCTACTGCAGGAAAAAGTCTCTCAGTTGCGCCTACTTGCTACTGTACACGGTCAGCTTCTCTCGAACGGCATCTTCATTCCAAAGACGGGTTCATTGTGAGTTCGGACAAAGGTACTTCTCTTCCTCGTTTTTCCAATACTGATTCAAAGAAATATTGTCTGATTCTCTTCTGATTCAGAGTGCTTAGCATGCAATTGCATTTTGTTCAACAAGATGGCCACCTTAAATGTGATTCTTGCATACTAGTTTAAAATATTTTATTTCGTATGGGCGTTTAAAGGGAAAGTTAAAGATAAAAATAAATATAAGTAATGTGACATGTTTATTCACAAACAATTGATTATGTGACAATAAAGATTAGCGCATAGATTCATGGACATTCATCCATCCAAGTAGAAACTGAGTCTACCATGGAGGCAAACAAGTTCTCACCTTCCAGATTATATTCTTAATATACACTCTCTTAGTGCTCACACTGGTCAAAATCGTAAACCACTTATTTTGAAGCTAGCACGCTACAAAATTGAAACAACCGAATCAGGTGACCTTTATTTCAATCACGAAAAATGAGAATATATGTTATTTTTAAATTTACTGCTCACGGAATATTCATGTTGTAGATTTACAGAATATTTTTGTCGAAAGCCTATCGACCAATTTTAGAATTCACATTTTACAGAATATTTTTGTTCATTTAATTAGATTTGAGATGAATTAACAATGAGGTTCATATATGTAGAAGGGAAAAATTATATGCAGATAATTTTTTTCCCTCATATTATTATTATTATTATTATTATTATTATTATTATTAAATTTGTACCCTTGATTTGTTATCTCAGGGAAAGGAATTTCGGAAGAGGTGGATGATGATAAGTTATTAGAAGCAGATAACGACAACATTTTGGAAAGTGTCGACTTAGTGGATAGGAAAATCCATGAACTCTATTTGATTATTCTTTCTTGCTAAGAATATGAACCATGAATTGTCGAGGTAATTCATTCATTAAATTTACAGGCGAAAGATTTATCATCCCTATGGGATTAAATGAAAGGATTGATCAAATTCTATTGAGTCTGACTCAAAGTCAGAGTTACTTCGAAAACAAAAAAAAGTAAAGTCAAATTTATTTGGGGTACTCTCTCAATTCTAATAAAATGCAGGAACTGTTCAAGATATTTTAAAGAAGACAGAAGTTTTGAAGGAGGCCGACGGTAGGCCAAAGTAAACTGGGAGAAGTTGAACCGCTTGTACAGAAATCGGTCACATTTTCAAAACTTCTGCTGGTTTGTCTAATTAAATTAATAACTTTGCACGATTTACATGTTGTTACATTATGATATGGTGTAGGGTTGTGGTGACGATCATGTATTTTGCACAATAAGTAATGTCTCCCACTTTCATCCCAGTGGTTTCAACAAGTGATTTATTGTATGTTCAAGGTAATTATATGGTTGAACATATGTACTTTATTTGAAGTAGTGGTCGCTTGTGTAATAATTTTTTTCAATCGACAATTGGACAAGCAATGCCTTACCACTATCCAAATGTAGCTCACCCATCACCACCGTGGAGAAAACTTGTGATGACGAGTTGAGCAGGTTTTGAAGGTATACAAATGTCGTCATGCTTTGAATTTTTGCCATAATATTAACATTATTTTGCCATAATATTACCGTTGTTCTTGTTGTGTATGACTATTTCCTTAAATATATAAACCATGTTGTACTTCTCTCCATTTATGTTGGTGTTTTATACATAAAGCAAGTTGGGTTTTTAATGGAGATAATGGATGTGATAGGTGATACTGTAACAAATGTAACTCTTTGTTCTAGGTGCAAATCAAGGTGGCAACAATATGAAATTGAAAGGATGGCCACTAACTGTACGTATATTATGGTTCAGATGCTGTTTTTCTCTCCTCAATATAGTGTAATTATAAATTGGTTTTTGTGAAGTACCTTCTCAAATACTTGTTTTATGATCCAATATTTGGTTATATAGACTTCTAGGAGCCGTTCTACCATTTCCCAACTAAACATGGATATTTTCTCCTGGTCTTTCTTTCTTTTTCTTTTTTTTTCAAATGGATCAATGGATTTCACCCCTCCCCCATTCCTGATATATTAAGATTAGAGAGATGTGGCATAAACTTTGGAAATATTTATTCATTAGGTAATGGTCACTTAGCTCACACTATAGTGGGAGTGTCGTCCAGGAAGGGTTTTTTTGAAGTTTTTCCTTTATTTTTTTAATTAATCTTCCTACTACAACCTGCCTTGGATGTTTCATTTCATTTTTATCAACAATGTTGTCTGCCAAATCTTTATCTGGGGTCAAAAAGGAACAAATCTTGGTAGCTTTATGGATTTTGAACACGTTGGGATTTGATTTCACTGTTTATCAACAATCTTGTCTGCCAAACGAACTATGGTATACATTGCAATCTATTTATCACTATTTTTACATGTTGGGTGCAAGTTTTTTGCTTACATTGTTAAACTACCATTTCACAGACTCCAACTGCATACCCTCCTCAAGATTGGAGATGTTGAGTTTGGGCATTTTCAATTGATTTTGGCGGTAAGCGAAAGGCTGGTAAAGTTGTGTTGGTAAAAGGAAATGTGTAGTAGTTAGACAAGGAGAAGAAGAAGAGATCCTAATGTTATTTTGGCGGGACAATATTTTGTATCTATGTTCTTATGACATGATGTTGCTGTATACAATTCTACTATATTTATTGAATATGTTGATCATCAATTCTACTATATGTTTGCAGGCTTCGAATATTGAAGTTTTGTTAAAGAAAAATTGCTGGTACATAATTGAAATTTCATATTCAATTCCAGTAACATAATGAAGAAAACAAACTACAATCCACTAAAATTCACACCAACATCATTCACATAACTGTTGAAACATGAAATGTGAGTACATTACAATGATTTGTTCACACAACATAACAGATATTTCACATCAACTCCACATAACACAACACATATTGCACATCAAAGGTGGTAGCGATGCATCCTAAGAAAAAGATCGTGTTCTTGCCGGCCCTTCCCTTTCTTATCCACTCCCGCACTTCCATTGGCCTTCCTTATTGTCACGTTCAAAGAAATTTCAATATTTTGTTCTTCGGTTACCCAACAAAGGGACTGGAACATGATAGAGAATTGCTGGACTTCTTCAAGTGCCACCTGATTATTCGAGTTAACAACAATAGTACTCAATCCGCTACTCGATTCTCCCACGTCAACCCATTCCCAGTATTTACAGTCAGCAGTTCAGCAATTGAACAATTTTCTCTTATTCTTCATTTCCCTCTCAACCTCAAAGCACTTCACATATCCAATTTTACACCATGAGCATTGTCGTTTCTTTGGGCAATTAGCGAAGAAGTGCACCTTCTCTCTACAGCTATGATAACATCCAAAATTCTTTCCTACCATCCTACATACAAGCGAAAGACCGGTTGTGCTACATTAGACAACAACCACTCACCAATGTAAAATCCACAAATTATCATTTCTCATAATCCATTCATTTTTTCCTTCCAACAGCGTTTGACAAAAATTTCTACTACTTGAAAACATTATTTACTCGTTCATTAAAAAGGGAAGGAGACCGAATTGAAACAATAAGGAAACTTCCAAAACGGAAAAAATCGCCTTCCTTACTAATTAAATCAAAATGATAAATCACCAAATTCAACACTCATGGATTCCCAAAAATAACTCATAAATCAAAGCAACTCATCAAATTAAAAGTTGCAGTATATAAGTATGGAAGAAACAAAGAATTCCAAACAAAACAAAAGTAAATAAATAAATAAATAAAAATCAATCTTCCGTTTCAAACATGGAACTGAGAAAAAATAAAAGATTTACCCACCGTTCGACTGATCGACGGATGATCACAACATCAACCACGAGCTTCTTAATAAGGTCAAGACGGAGGAGTGCAGCTTCGTTGTCCTCGAACTATTGTTTCGCCTATGAGGGGTTTCTCTGTGTTTGGGGGTGGGAGAATGAAAGGGAAAAAGAGGCAACGGTTTGCTTTTGTTTTGGGCCTGTTCAAACAATTGACCTGTTTCCTTATTTTTATTTTTTCTTCTTTTGCCAGGTCATAGTGCCAACCAACAGGAAAAGAAACGGGTACATAGAGCGGGATTGTAATACAATTGTGAGAGTTACTACATGTTTACACCTTTGTTTGCATAATACGGAGTTCTTGTTTGATTCCGATTATTTTTAAAATACACTTTTTCCGTTCTTTTTGTCAGTACACATTTTTCAATAAAATAATATTACGTGTAAATTAAATTTTATTTTATTTTTTAACCACACATTCTTCGTCAATATATTATTTAAAAATGCATTATTGAATAAAAATGAGCCTCAAACACGATTCGAGTCAGCAATTTTCATTGAATAATGCTACAGTGACATAATTATTGATATATTTATTAATATAATGTCACATGTCACTACATCAATGAACTATTTTAAACACAATCAACTTTTCATCAAATTACATTTTGTCCACTAACACTATGTCACTCTATTTATTAACCACTTTAATGGTATAACTCTTTTTCATTGTTGTTGCACAAAAATAAAAATAAAACTGTCACTGTTTCGAGCGGATAGTCGCTAACAATTAAAAAGGAATCAGACGATTATGTAAGGAACAGACCTCTTGAGACAAAGTCCCAAAAAGAGGTGCTTTATTGGTGATGATTTACAATTGAAAATAAACAGAATGCCTTCAAGGGGCGTAAGCATACTAATACTAAAAGAAGTGTTTAAGTTTAAACTAAGAAATCGAAATTACATATTCTCTATTTGAGAGTGTTTGATTCGTCCGTTTTTTTCTATGTCTTCTCTTCTTTTTATATTCTCTTGATGATTTTTTCGTGACAAACCGTTTGGAAACTACTTGATTGCTGTATAACTACCCACTTTCTTTATGGTGGCTAACTTGTCGTGGAACTGCCGTCTCTAACTGTTGCCATTACTCTTTGTCGTTCAACCGCTTTCAACTGGGCTCCTTGAATCGTGGAATGTGATAAGATCACTCAATAACTACTTCAATAACTGCTATTCTGGATAACCATAATATTTTATGCTTGCTAAGATCCTGGGCGATTTGAAGGTTTGGGCGAGAACGGGGTCATCCCTCTGGGCGACCGTAAGGTACTCCATTTGCTCAGATTCTGGGCGTCTTGCAAGTTTGGGTGATGATGTTACCGTGTTCGTGGGCTTCCGCCGTATTCATCAATAATCCTGTTTGGACCTTTATCCTAGATTCCCCCATTGGATTTCACTCTTTAGGATATTTGATTTATGCTGCACTTTTAGTGTGTCAACAATTATCCCCCAATATGGCAGAATTAATATCAATTATTAATCTTTGCCATATTCACTTTGTATTTTCCAGCAATATTTGAAACTCCCAAGAATTTCAATCATTATTTCCTTCTACAGCCTGAAAAAGTGCAACGTTACAAACCCTTATAAACTAAAAAGACACGCCATCTCATTGCACCACGTCTCTATATTTCATGCTTCCTCCTTGCTATTTTACTGTTCATCTTCTTGCTTCTCTGCTACGTTTCTCGGGCAAACCTTAACGAAACTGTATTTTGTTCTCAATGGCGACTTCACAAACTCAATCTGATGATTCTTTTAGTTTCGAAGATTTCCAAGAAATCCTTACTAGGCCATATGTAAATCCTAACTTCCTTGCATAAGCTAATGCTGACTTCAATGAATTCTATCTGGGTCCATCGTTCAATAACCCCGAAGCCATTGGACAAGTGGCGGTGGGCCAGCTGTTCCCTTGCACTCAAGATCCTCCATTCCTGAACTCTCTGCCATTGAGGTCGATTCGCGAAAAAGGTATTCGCACTTGGCCCAAAGCTGATGTTATTTTTCGTAGATGGAATGCACGTCTTGTGAATCATGACCCTACCAAGGCGATTTTTAATCGTCCTAGGATTTCAGACTTATTAGAAATCATTCTTCAACCCCCAATTTTCGACCCAGTGTTTTTTCCTATTGCTTTGAGTTTTTGGTATTCTGAATATAACACCTTCGTTGTCCCTCATGGTCCCATGTCTATTACTTTATGGGACTTTGGAGCCCTAATAAATCTTCCGCCTTTGGGCGATACCATCTTTCCCGGTATTTTGATTTCTAGTGTTGCCCCGAAATTTGACAAGAAACTTATTGAGTCCTATTCAAGCCTGGAAGGCTTTTATAATCACTCAAGCGCTGAGCCTTCCCATGCTGAGCGTGTGGTCTTTCTTCAGATTTGGCTCTGTAAATATATTCTATGTGTGCCAAGTATGAAACTTTTTATGAGCTACTTACCCAAAGCGCATGAATTGAAGCATGGTAGACCTTTGAACTTATGTTCCTTCTTTTTAGCTGCCCTTTATAGAGGCATGGCTTCTCTTCAGTTTCAACTGAAGAATGGTGCATCTTCCACTGACAGTGGGCCCCTTTGGTTCACTCAACTATGGTTGAGAGTATACTTTCCACCACTTGGGCTCCATCCATTTCCCTTCGTTCTGCTAGCTGCTATGGGCTAGCCATTGATCCATTGAACCCTGTAAATATGCCTAGTAGGGACATTTTTTCATTCTTTTATACTTTAAATTCGATTCCTTCTTTCCTTTTCCTGCTCACTTGACTCCAGATTATGTGCAATCCCTATCTACCCTAGATAGTGCAAGTGCCTCTCTACTTGTTTGGGTTCAATTTTTGATTAGAAATGAATTGTTCCATAATATTTTAACTGGAACCAATGCTAAAGTTGGGGTTGAAATATACGCTACCCAATTTTTTGCTCGCCAACTTGGTTTTGGCCAAACTTGGACTGTTCCTCCTTGCTACTCCAAAAATTTGACAGACCGCTTTCATACTATTAATAAGGTAGAGGCACAAGTTATAGATGCTCGCAACATTCTTTTGACGAGCAAATTTTCATTAGCCCCTTTCAATTCTAGCTGTGCCGTCCATCCTCTTTTTGAATAGCTTTGACCATCAGTAAAATGCCGACTGTTTGCAACTGATGCTAATCGTGCCTTTCATTTACTGGGCCAGTCAGGCACTCCTTCTACTTCTCCTATTTTGGTCACCCCTATGTCCATTAGGAATCCTTCCACCCCTGCTCGCGCTAAACATTCTATCCATCCATCTGCTTCTCTACCTGCCAAGGCTACTGCAGCTAAAGGTGCCTTAAGCTGCAAACGGTCAGCTTCAGCATCTCCTATTTTGCAGGATGATAATGATAATGATGATGACGCTCCTTTCATCCTTAGGAGAAAGGTAATTGAATTTGTTTATTCACAAACATACTTTTCTATGTACTAATGGTTTACCTGACTTTCTCATAAAAGTTCAGCCTCTCCTTCGAAGGCTTTGGTTTTGGCAGCTCCTGCTCCATCATCTTCTGCTGAAGCTGCTTCATCCAAATCAGCTAATGAGGGGATTACACTTAAAGAGAAACCCTTAGTCCTGGAACCTTCATCACAACTAGTAGAAGGGCCACTTTCTTCCCAGGGCGTCGACCCCCCAAACTTCGATTCAGAAGGTAATACATATTTTGATGTTTTACCTTTACTTGTGCTACTGGTTCTGATTCGTTACTTCTTGAATTATGCAGAGGCTCCCATGGGCCTACCCGTTGTGGCAGAGTCTTCTTGCCCAGATAAGGGGAAGTCCCCACAGGTGGTAGAGCCAACTGGTGATATGCCTGAACTTTCCAAGATTGCTGATGAGGTAACATTTTGCTTCACTTTCATTTTCACTTCGTTTATTGTAGTGAAAGTCCTCAGTGTTGGCATTTTTCTTTGCAGGGTGTTGATGACATTGTGCGTTCCATCCAGGACTTGTTTACTTCCTGGGGGCAAGTCAAGACGTCTCGCCCTACTTCAACCAGTCATCCTTTTGCTTTTTCAGAGGAAAATATGAAGTTTCTCAAGCAGTCGGTATTTGAGTATGTGTCTTTTATGGACATGGATATCGGTCAGGCTAGTGCTACTAAACATAAGGATAAGCTTGAGCTATTGAGTGCGAAATTGGCGCAAGGACTTACACTTTCGTCGCTCAATGTTTCTGCTAACTTTAAAGCGATGTTGAAGGTTGTTCACTCTGACATCCTCTCTTTACTAGAAAATGTTGAACTGAAGGCCAGGAGTACTCAATACCTTCGTGCTAAATCTGAAAGAGAGTCTTTGCTTCTAGAGATTAACAAAGCCGAGGACGAATTAAAAGAAATTATGATCGAAAACTCTTTGATGACAAGTTTGGCTACAGAGATGAAGGAGCTTCAAGCAAAGATGGATGACTGTAGGGCGAGAATGGCTGCTAAAAAGCGTAATGCTTCCCAAGGAATTGAACGAACCAAGTCTTTGGTTGAGCAGTACAAAAAGTTGGAGGTTGATGACGATTTTATAGCTGAATTAAATGTCGATTCTTCTCAACAGAGCAAATATTAGGCGAGACTTAGGGAAAGAATTCGTTCGGCTTGGGGTGAATTGTAATTAAGACATCCAATGCCTTAACTTTCCTTTCGTAACTTCGTACTAACTTTCCTTTTGTAACTTCACACTAATTGCCATTGCTAATTTTGAATGTAACAGTAGTTATCATCATTAATGAACGACTAATTTGTCTACTTGCATATTAATTGACGTTGTCCTTAATCGTCAACCTCCCAAGCATTCAATTGCTTTATGGTAAGATTCATGAACATTCTTCCTTGGTATTTCCGTCTCTTTTCCCAAAACTTTGGGCCATTTGATTTCAGTTATTAGGCACGAATGTGGCCATTTATATTCTGTCTTTTCACCTTCACGCCTCTATAAATGCCTGTGCATTTCGCACTCATTATTTTCATTTCCATTCTTTTCTTCAAAAACTAATTTGCTGCCTTCATTTGGCATCTCAACAATTGATCTAAAATTTTCGTCTTCCATAGAAATGGATCATTTGATCCGTTCATTTTGCTATCTGTTTTGATGTCACCTTTGGTATGGGAGATATATGAAATATTCTTTGGCCAGCGAAGTT